TTATCTGCTGTTGGGGCATAAAACCCTCTTCCGCCTTCAAAACCATTGACCATCTTCTCCTGTAACCCTGGAAAGGGGCCTTTATGAGGTGCTACCAGCTGGGCCAGCTGGACCAAGGCTTTTAAGGAGGTGTTACTCCTCTATCACTCACCCTTTGTCCTGGCTTGTGACAGACAGAGCCTGGCTTCCCAAATGTTGGGCCCAGGATGGCAGGTTTCAATAATGACAGAGCTTCTCAATTACTGGTTGGGATACATTTAGAGATGTATCTGCCTTGAAAAGTTGGGATACATTCAGATGTTTCTGCCTCTGTGGTGGGTTCCGGATCCCGTTGCAACCAGTATAGTGTAATGGGGCTGGGCACCCACCACATGAACATGTGCACATGCACGCAGTGTGTGCATGTGTACTTACCACCCGTGATGCTCTGTGATGTTCCAGCTGCTCGGCAGAGTGCTGCGCAGGTACCGTGCGTTCTGTGCGCCTGCGCAGAAGTCCCAAAAACTTCAAATACCGGTAAGCAGCATGGGCAGGCAGGTGGGCCCTCCGGAGCACCATCCCGGAACGATACCTAGTTCTCCCGGCAGCCACCAGTATGCCCGTACCGGGGCGTACCGATCATAATCCACCACTGATCTGTCTTGAAAATAACTTATATTCAACAGTCTAACATCAGCTCAGGAAATATTTTATTTCATTTTGTATTACAGGTAGTCCTTGACATATGACTACAGTTGAGCCCAACATTTATGTTGTTAAGCGAAGCAGTTGTTAAATGAGTTGTGCCTCATTTTGCGACCTTTTTTGTCACAGTTGTTAATTGAATCACTGCAGATGTCAAATAAATCATGCAGTCAATTCAATTTCCCCATTGACTGCTTGTTGGACACTGGCTGGGAAGGTTATAAGTAATGATCACATGACCCCAGGACAGTGCAACTGTCATAAATATATGCCAGTTGCCAAGTGCCCGAATTTTGATCACATGGGGATGCTGCCATGGTCGTAAGAGTGAAAAATAGTCAAATCACTTTTTTCAGTGCTGGTGTAACTTTGAGCGGTCAGTAAATGAATAGTTCTAAGTCGAAGGCTAGCTTATCTATGTGATAAACTGGTCTGTGATCATATTTATGTTATAAAATGTTTTATAAAATTTGTCAAATTTCAATTGCACAAGAGCCAAGACTTCCGATTTTGGATGCATTGTATGGGTTAACCCATTTGATATATCATAGTTCAAAATGTTTTGCTCCAGGATTCATCATTTCACCCATTTAGTAGTATATAAATTTATATGCCTCCCAATGACTTTGAACAGCTTTAGAATTTTATGTGTCCTCCTGCTGCTTTGACAGTGAAATTTCAGATTTTGAAACAGTTTTATTTTTATTACTCGTGCTATCCTCTGAGAGTAATTGCCACTTAAAAATTGCTGATCCTGAAGGCAGAATCTGAACATATTTTGCATGAATGGACAGAAACTTGCTCTACAAAGAACACTAACTTTAAATAAACTTTTATTTCAAGTCATAAACATATGGTTTCAGTATTGTATCTGTGAGTTGTTCCTCATTATTGTTTTGAAGCTCTGAATTATGACCTGTACTGAAAATAGGTTTTGAAAATACTTATTCTGAGATCTTTATTTCTATTTTTAAATTGGATTTTTTTTGTGACTCTTCCTTGAAAGGTACATAGATACCTGAAAGATCGGATAAAAATTGTTCTGGAAATTAAATTAAATTAAAATACAATGTTTTTTCATTACCATATTTTTATATATTTTTCTTCTCTCCTAAATTGATAAAATTATTCCATATATCTTATACTTAGTTGTTTCTAAATACATAGTTACTGGCCACATTCTAATGAGTAACTGAAGATTATCCATTTTTAAAAACTTTAAATGTTAAAATGATAATTTTAAATAATCAAATACAAGATTAAGTTATTAGATACATAAATGAAGACATGCCATCTGCCTTTTTTATTCACCCCAGGACAAGAAATACATCATTTCAATCATGTGTTTATAGGGCAAATATTCTGAGGTGCTTGAAAGAAAAATGTTACACTTCTGTTACTGAAGTAGCATTGAGCTTTGTATTATTGAGTTTTTATTAAATACCAACTCTTCCCTTCAGTTAGTTACTACTAGGTATTTCAGTTTCCTAAAAAAATTTTCTCTTGATATCTGAACCAACAAAGTAGGGAGGAGATAAAAAATTCTGAAACAATGGCCAAATGAGGGACACCACAGGAAGTCTATTTGTCAGGATCCTGATTTGTCTTTGCTTTTGTTTTTTGAAGAGCAACCACTGAAAGCTGTGAGTGAAGCGGTGGTAGAGGTAAGAGAAGGCTGCTTAAAACATCAATTTTCAAATGTCTTTTTGCTGTGGGAGATACAGGTATTCCATTGCAAAGCTGTTGCATGCCTCTGTCATATAATTTTTTAATACCAATCTTGTAGTGTTATATTATGATCAAAGCAAATTCTTCTATTTTTCTGGAGATAGCTAATGTCCAGAATACCATTTGATATTACTTGAAATAATCATAGGAGTATTTTTCTCTCTTTTGTTCCTATGCCAATAAAAAAGTAAATGCAGGTGAAATGTTAACAGAAATGTTTCAATATTAACTTGAAATTAGGACCGGATGATTGTAATGTCAGATTACTTAAAAAATGAATATCAGTTGATAATGTTATATTTTAAGAATTTATTTTAAAACAATAACAGCTTCCTGGCTAAGCAGATGAATAATGCCTACTTTTATTTATGTGTATATTTATTAATTAAATGGAATTCTGTCCCAGAATTGCAAAAGGGTCAGACATTCAGTAAGGGAGGGGCATGGTTTTTTTGATGGTGAGCTAGTTGAAATGTGCTTCTCAGAAGAGTCATTAATAGCACACCTGCTTAGTGATTGTTAAAGAATCAAGACCCCAGTTAAGCTGAATGTTTATTATAAATAGTTTACAGCTGTTTAAGTCACTGTTGTGAAATTCATTGAGTATTGGATAAAATCAAATCCCAGTAGTTTAAATCAATGATTTTCAACCTGTGGTCCGCAGACCCCAGGGGGGGGGGNGGAAAGATTTTTATATGTTAAATGGACTAATGATGATGTAATGAATAATTAATACATACATGAATTGAAATATTCAATAACTACTTGGGTTAACAATGGAAAACTATTTCTGGAGTGGAATATGCCACACTATAAGTATTGTATACTCTATGGATGATTAATATTAATGGTAAACTGAACACATAATGCTCAATGATAGTGATGTATTTAGTTATGTTTGATGGATAACCAGTGATCATATTTCTAATTGTGAAAACTGATGCACAAAAGCTTGTAACCAAACGACATGCTTGATGAAATTGAGGAAAGTTTTTTGTATGTGCTGTTTTGTTTTTGTTTGTTTTAAAAATAAAAAAAATATTTTTTTAAAAAACGGACTGGACAACTATGTGTCTAAAATGGTATGGGATCTCTTTCTTGAGCAGCAAGTTGGGCTACAACACCTCCAAGGTCCCTTCCAACTTTATTATTTTGTTATAACATGAAAAACAGAAAAACATTTTCAGAATTGCAAGATTGAGTTAAGACCAAGCAGATGCAGATGTTCGCTCCTCCCAGATGTGGAACTTTTCATTTTGGGTTATGCATGAGAGTTTACTATCCTTCTTAAGACTCTTGTGCAATCTGGTAGTTTTGTTACCTATTAGTTTCATTAAGACTAATGTGAAGTTCCAATTAGACTGATTTATTACTAGACATACCCAACCATAGGAATGTAATAAATGAACGGTTAGTTCTATCTTGGTGTTAGATAAGGGTCAATGGAATTCAAAAGGAATTGGACTTAGTTGATTTGTGGCTACGTAGAGAGTTTAGGCTGATTCCTCTTTTGAGGAATCCATGCTCCATTTCTGTCACTCCTCCTACACCTTCAGTTTTTAAACAGAATAGAATTGAGCTGTGGAGATTTCTGAATGTCCACAAGAGCAACAGAGAGGACAGAGGCAGAGTTATGGAAGAGTGGAGGTAGGAAGTCTTCTATTATTGGAAACAAACCCACAGTTGGGAGGCACCCAGAATAAATTCACCCTTCGGAGATGGTGTTGTTCACCCACCTATGAAGGATTACTTGGTTTGGCCCATACTCAAGAAACAATTTCTAGGTTACACCATACTGGACAATTTTGGTGGACTTTGGAAAAATCCTCATTTCTGTGAATGTTCAAACCTGGTATGGGAGGAAAATGGCACTGGTTAGATGAACTTTGAAAGGAGCAGGATGAGGCCAGTGCATCCATTCTGGCTCAATGTGACCACTTGGTGGTCTTTAATGCCATCAACAATCAAGCATGGGCAGTCAGGAGTCCAGGCGATACTAATGAAAATAGGCTTATTGTGTGCTGATGCTCTCTAGAAGAATCTGATCTACTAATATCACCATTGTCATCATCAGCCATTCTTTGGTGTTTTGCTCACCGAGTTCAGGAAACTTCTGCCTGACATTGACAAGGAAGTATAGCAGATCTGGATGTGAGGGGGATTTAAACTCTTCCATTTCAAAAATAATTGAATAGTGGTAGACAATTCTGTAAAGCCTTAGATATCTAAGAAAAAAACATATTTGCTTAAAACACTAATAGTGAACACATCCCTTTAAAGTACTAACTTCAAATATTGAATAAAATTGAAAGGAATACAATAAGAAAATTTCCTCCATAAAAATTAACACATCTTTACAAACAAGATTTCCATCAAATCAAAGCATTGGACATAACTGAAGACTTGTTGAAAACATAATAAACAAAGACTGGATGATAGTTTCTGACAAGTAAAGGGTAACCAGTTGCAGCATTTAATAGGGAATTCTTTAATGGACAAGTTCCTTCTTCTTGTCAACATTTTTTTAAAAAAATCACATTCTATATATGCCAAAAAGACAAATATAAATGAGATCATCCTTGCACTAGTTAAAAAGTCTTGTTCCTTACTATATTTTCTCTACAATTCAGATCAGGCCTCAAAAGAATAATGTAGCATTTGGGGGAAAAGATACAAACCAAGAGAGCAGCTCCAGAGGCCATGATGGAGAAGATCTCCACAGCCACCATGGACTTCCCTTTGGTGCTTAGGTATGTAGGGAGGAAGGAGATCCATACACTGCAAAAGACCAGCATACTAAAAGTAATGAACTTAGCCTCATTAAAGCTGTCAGGCAATTTCCTAGCTAGAAATGCCATTGTGAAACTGACAAGGGCCAAAAGACCTAGGTAAGAGAGGACACTGTAAAACATTACAGCTGAGCCTTGCTTACATTCCCAGATGATCTCTCCAAACAAGGAGTGGAAGTCCAAGTTAAGAAATGGGGGAAAGGTTCCCAGCCAGGTGGCACAAAGGATTGCTTGGACCAGAGGACAGGCTATGACAATAGAGTTGGTCAGTGGTTTTCCTAACAGTTTCCTTGTCTTGTTCCCTGGCTTGGTAGCCATGAAGGCCAGAACCACCACGACAGTTTTTGCCAATACAGAAGAAACTGCAAGGGAAAAGAGAATGGCAAAGGCAGCCTGTTGGAAGAGACAGGTGATCTTCCCTGGTTGACCAAGGAAAAGGAAGGAGCAGAGGAAGCAGAGCAAGAGAGAGACCAGGAGGATATAGGTGAGGTCTCGGTTATTGGCCTTGACAATAGGTGTGTCATGATGTTTATAGAAAATAAGCAGGACTGCTGAAGTTATCCCAGAGAGGAAAAGAGCAAGAAAAACTAAGATGTATCCCAGGGTGTCTTGATAGGCAAGGAAGTGGAGCTTCTTGGCAATGCATTGGTCCTTGTCCATGTTGGGATATTGGTCTTCTGGGCAGGGTTCACAGTGAGCTGCATCTGAAATCAAATGTCTTTGTCTAAGGATTTCTTGAGCAACTATTATACACAATATCCCTCCTGCAAGGATGATACACATGTTGACTTTCTTCTGCTGACCTTCCTGCAAAGGGGGTGATGAAAGAACCCACTGAGCATTGTATGGAGCATCAAAAAGAGCAAATCATCCTTCATTTATGATGATCCTGAGGATAGATTAGTCAGAGACAAGCATTTGTTCACTTCCAGCTATCCATTCACTGTGCACTTCTATGAGTAATTTGGCTTTTAGTCTGAGAATTGCTACCTCCTAACTTTATAATGGAACCCACAGAAGGTCAATAGACCTTTTATCCAGCAAAGCTGCTGTTTTGTTTATGTGTATAAACAACCTCTGCCTTAACCTCTCTGCTTTGTACTTCAAATCTGTCCATCAGACATTTGTTTGTTTGTTCTTTTGCTCCCTCCTGCTCTGTCAATGAGACATAGATAGATCTTCTTTTTCTCTGGCTAGTCTGTTTCTTCTGAATTTGATACAGCTGAAAGAAGAAGGAAATTCTGATTTGTGTGCTTGTGTGTGTGTGTCTTTTGATGACCTCATAATCCTTTACATCGTGGAGTGGGTAGAGTCACAGCAATGAATGGAGCTAAATGTTTACTGGCCAGATGCCCTTCCTGTCACCAATACAGAGTTCACAGCAGATATTTACTCATTTTGCCCAGAGAGAGAAATGTCTGTCTCTACCTAGGATTGAACTCACACCCTCCTGATTGTGAGGCAAGAGCTTCACCTCAAGGCCACTTCACCACTCAAGAAGCACACTCTGAATGATAAAAATTAAAGCTTGGACTTCCTTGGAAAAGATTGGTTGTTGGTTTTACCAATTGGATGTTTGAATAGGAGTGGAAATGCAAGTTGAAGATTCATGCCCTAAAACTATTCTGCATGGAATTGTTGAGGATCAGGAAAGGTGACTTCTGTGGCCATGACAGTTTAGACCCATCAACTGAAGGGTTCTGCTGAAACATATGAGTACATGTCAATCTTATAAAAAATGACAACAATAACAAAGAAATTAATTAATGTCTTCCTTGATGTTGGAAGATTTACATTTGAAGTCTGCTCTACCTGTCTGATTAGAAATGGTTCCTTCAGGACAAGCATCACACTGGTAACAGCAAACTAGCTTGCCCTCTGGAACTCTTCTCCTCTCTCCTGCCTGGCACCTCTTCCTGCCACACCTGGCAAAGGGCACCTTCTGAAAGAGAAATGAGAAATACTTGAGAAGGTCTAGTCAATGATCATGTGTCATTAAATCTCCACATTGACATCTCCATCTTCAAAAGATCTTCAGAATAACCTGTTCACCATAGTGCTGAACTTGGCAAAGTGGATCGTCTGAAAGAGAAATACTTGAAACTACTTAAGTGATGAATCTGCTGTATTCATTCTTTTCCCCATTCCTATTTCTCTCCCTTATTCCAACTTCTACATTCAGATTCTCTTCTAAGGAAATAGTTTGCCACCCGCTATCAGAAATCAGAACAGTTCCTGAAAGATTCAGACCGATGGCATTCTTGTCACACAAATGGATGTGGGGGATGGGAATTGGGATCATAGCCTGTAGAGGAAGGTTTGTGACTGCACTACAGGGTTGCTAAAAGAAAGAACTATGACAATACAACTAAGCAGAAATGGTCCATGGAAATCACTCTTTGCTTGCTGTAATTGGATCTGGCTTTTCAAGCAGAAGTCATTCCCAAGTCCAACCTTTTGTGGTATGACACAAACCAGACCTCAAATGTGTTACATGCCAGAAGTGGTATTCTGCTGGTTCACACCGGTTCAGGCGAACTGGTAGTGGCGGCAGTGAGAGGCTCCACCCACCCACCCTGAAATCATCACAGACATCACAGATGTGCGCTTTTGCTGCCAAAACCATAGTGAAGAGAAGAGGATTTCATGCCTGGTTCATGCAAATCAGATTTTTCACCAATCGACCACCATAATTTCTGACTCAATTGATTGTTTTTCAAGTTAGAAAAATGTTGTGCATCTCAGGAAGAGAATGAATCTTTCCCTGAACTTACGGCATTTCCTTGCAGCTCACCTTTGTGGCCCAGGTGATTCCATCAGAGTTAATGGTGAAATCCTGGCCTGGGGGAGCCTCAGGATTTATTTGCCCAACTTTTATGGGGACAAAAGATTGATTGGGGAGGAGAACCCAGTTGAGAAGATTAAAACGAGCAGATCCCAGTCCATCTTCTGAAAAGGAGACTTCATCTCCAGCACTGTTGTTGAAGTGCACATTCCTCAAATAGGGAAAAATCTGAAAGAAAGGAGACCTTCAGATATTGGGGTATTTGGGCTAGAGCTACAAATGAGACATCATGGCTTATATCAGAATATGGTGACCAGTTTCAGAAGATGTGTTTTTTTTGTCTGAGAAACTACAGGTGTGATCTTGGTGGAGATCTGAGAAATTAGGAATAATACCAAATATTTAACTCTGAAACTACAAAGGTTTATGTTTATTACTGGGCATGGTTTCCAATTCCAGTTTCATTAAAATAGAAGATATACAAAAGATTTAGTTCCACACTCCAAATTTAATTATAGGGTTTCTCCTCTTGTGATACTTGGCTACCTGCAGTTTCAAATAGTTACTTTGGCCCAAGGTCTTGTTAATTGACAAATAGATTTCACAAATGAATAAATGATTTATATCATAACCACGGAAAATTCCACTGGCTTTCTCTAGCTCATAGTCAAAGGCAGAGAAATGCAGGAACCAGGTCTGACTAAGCGGGGTCACGTATAAGGAAGCACCAGCCCTGGAGAGTCTCTTCACTATTTAGAGAAGTCCAACATTTTAGTCTTTGAAAATTCAGATGAATTTCTGACTAGGAGCCCATTAGGACCACTTTGAATCCTGCTATGTGCTGTGGTTGACATAGAAGCAGAGAAGAACTGAGTTGGGAGATATCTTTGAGGTCATCTAGTTGAAACTCCTGCTCAAGCAGGAGACCCTCTACCATTTCAGAGAAATAGCTGCCCTTCTCTTCTTAAACACCTCCAGAAATGGGGCACCCACAACTCCTAAAGGCAAGCCATTCCTCTGATTATTTTCAGTGTTAAGAAATTTCTCCTTAGTTCTGGTTTGCATCTGGCTAGTTTCCATCCATTGTTAATCAGAAACTGTTTTCACACAGCAAACTGATTAGTGGAACAAATGGTAAACTGAATAAAAAGGGCAGAAGGTCACACATGATACTAAGCCATAGAAACATAAAACAAGCTTAAAATGAATTGAGTATAATTTTAGAAGTTGGATTTGTGGTACATTCCATTCAAAACTGAGATTGTTCTGCCTAGATGCCCTCTAAGATTTCAACCAACCTGCTGAAATGTGTTGCACAAACACACCCAGATTGTTGTCTTGCTTTGGGCTGAACTTCCTTCTCGGAATAATCACCTTCTGAAACTGTGGCCACTGTTGAAGGCTACTCAGGGCTTTATAAAGGTCTCTGGAACTTATGGACCACTGGTTTGATTTATGTCTCTTCCCTCCCTCTATCCTCTTTCAATAAAATATTTTTCTTAACTGATTTTAATAATTGTTGTTTTAATACGCTGCGAGATAGATTGATATGCAATAGTAATTACCTGCCATGACTGGACATTTGAGATCCTCTTTCCAAGCCTCATCATGGTCGGTTGGGCTCCAGATCCATACATTGCATATAAAGCGTGTGCCAGAGCATTAACAGCATTGTAGATATTGTAGCTTTCACCTGTCATTCTTGTTTCAAAGACGTAAGCTTGCAGATCCAGTAAATTCTCCTTTCCTGTACATTGTTTTCCCCGCTTTGAAAGGATCTTTCCTGGTTTGTGGATCTTGCAGCGAAAGACACTTTCCCACCACAGAGGGAGAATGAGGTCTCCTTTGGGGTTCAAGGGGTCTAAAGACAGGAGGAAGTGACTGAATTCTGTAATATCCCCAGAGTGGTCCCTAAAATGCAAGGCCCCATGAAAAGGCTTTATGTATTCTGCCATATTCTGAGATCCCATCATACTAACTTTCCAATCAGGAGTTAAGACCCAAACTTTCTGAAATGGTGTCTTTGTGAGTATTTCATGATAATAATACACAGATGCCTGTACATTGGCAAAACTATTGGAGTCTCCAAACAGGATAAACACTTCTATTTTAGAATATATTTTGTAAATGCTAAATAATTTTTCCCCCGTATTCTTAGGTTCATCCAATTTCAATGTTTCAGTGAAGGCCAGGCAGATCTCCTTCTCCTGGAGCATTGGCGCCAGAGTTGAGATGAAACTTTCTCCCCTTTCATCTTCAGGGGCCAGAAGCCCAGCCCAGTTCCATTGGAAATGCAGGAGCAGCTGAACTAAACCAACATAATGAGCAGATTCACTGGGATTAATCCGGAAGAAGGAAGGATAAACTCTTCTCTCTCCCGGAGAGAACGCAAAGCCAACACCGAGCTGGAGAAAGTAAGATTCATCTTTCAATCACAAAGTAAAGTTTTATGCTGAGTTTAGGAGTCACCATAGTATGACGTCTTATCCCACCTGTCAGGCTGACTCACTTTCAGTGGCAAACTTAATCTTCTTCCCTTCTTAGGAAGAGCCACCAGTTACATATGTTGACTGGTTGTAAGATGTCAGAAGACAAGAAAAGAAGCCATCAACATGATACACATAATAAATGGCACTAAAAGTGTACTCTTTTGTAAAGAATAAACATCTTTGATTTGTGTATGTGGTTCTGATCTTTGTCTACTCTATACTGTATCCAATGGAGCTGCCTTACCTGTGGGACCTTAAAGATGCTGAAGATGGAGTCCATCAGCCTTGAGGATTTGGCATTGAGATCACCAATGACGGAGAGCAGAGGGTCCCGTTGGACACATTTGTAACCTGGAACCACTTGGCCTTGTGAAGAGAGCATGGAGAGGCTATTTAAGGAAATAGCTATATCAGTCCGGAAATGAATATAGATATGGAATCCAAGGGTGATGTTGGGAAGCAGAAGCAAATCCTTATTGACCTCTATGACAGCAAACTTCAATGCAAAAATCTGTTGGTAGTTACTGGGTATGGGTCTGTAGTGGGAAAAACATTGGGGAACATTACAGGAATGGTTATGTGTGCTGGTAGAGTTTGTCTTGTTTTTAGGGGTGGAATCGATTTTTTGGATCAGCAACTCTCAGGTTTCTTTGTGTTTTGGTTTTTTTAAAGGGTCTTCCTTGGCTAAATATGGATGGCTTTGTGAGAAAGGAGAAAAGCCTTTCCATAGTTATTAAGGGCTGTTTCATAGACTTCTATCATCTCTCCTATCTTCACTTTGCTGCAGTGTCTTTAATCCTTCCCAACTGCTCCCCTTTCATTCTAATTATTTATGGTCCCTCTTGGAGCAGCTTCTTCAGGTGGGGTTAACATTGCTGAGCACAGGACTACAGTGGAGGTCACCTCATAGATTTACTGAAAGGCCATTATTCATGAGCAATGCTGATTCCAACACTGAGAGGGATTTTTATAGCTCCTAAACCTTGCAAGAAGATTGAGCTTTTATTTCAGATTTCTACCAGAATTTACTGACCACATTAATATTATAATTTGACTTCTTCACTAGGCCAGCACAGCTTCCCTCTTCACTATTGTTGTTTATCATCTTCCTGAGGAAGAGATTGAGAATGCCAGCCTATTTAAAGAGCTTGGTAATTTATGGAGAAAAGTACAAAACATGCATTACACCAGAAGAGTGCAAATTACTAGAAGAAGTATTTCTGAAAGGGATTCCTGCATTGAAAGGAAAAAGAACAATGATCTGCCCTCCAGCTGAAACTCACGCTTTTTGTCCATGACGCCCAAATGGGTCCTTTTGAAAGCCTGTGGAAGTAGATCTGAGATCGACTCCAAAGGGCAAATTCCCACCAATAATGAGGTCACCAGGCATATAGTAGAGTTCCTCTGATTGGAGTCTCTTCATGGAAGTTGGAGCCAGGAGCCAGAAGAGCATCAGCAGTAGCAGTAGCATGACTCCTGCCCAATCATTCTGGTCACCTTTTCTCCTAGAACTGAAATCAAGGTTTGTGCAGAAAGTGAATTGCAGGTGGAGTTTGAAATCTCATCATAGGTTTAGCAGAGTGGATGCCACATGTGTCACCTGGATGGCCTGAGGGCAAATTTATCTCAACAATGCTTCCTTTTATCTGTGTTTCTTGGCTGTGACCAAAGAGGAAGGAGAGGCATGTGAGTCTCTTCAATCCCAGGAGTAAGTTCTTTGCAAGACCAGCTAAGGTGACATGTTCTGCCCCCATGTGGAAAACTCAGAGATATTTTTCAAAGCAGGTTTTATTCTGGAAGATTTTTGTGTCTAGAGATCCGCAGGGGATACATGAAGAATGATTACTCTTCTGATAATTGCAAGGAACAGTCCTTGCCTTACCCACTTAGCAACAGCTTCTCTTCATGTAGCAGAATGGAAAACATGTTTGTGCCTCTTCTTCTAATTCACAGAGCAGTTGGAGTCATGGGGAATTGATATATTCGATCTATGTGAAACTGAACCCCTAAGCACAAGATGGATTTTGGCTTATGCCATAGTTGCGTCAGTTAACACGAATGCTAAAGGAATATGGTGGCACAAGGCAGATTTGTAATTTGAGAAAGTATCTCAGACAAGATACCAAGTGCTGTTTTTTTGCTAGACTTGCAAATTCCTGTTGCTATATCTTAAGGGCAGCAATTATCATCCAGGAGTCTCTTTTGGTCTTCAGAGGTACTACTCCCCAAGTCGCTGAGTCTGAGACTTTTTTTTTTGAAGATTCATTCATAGGACCAGTTGTGATCTCATTGCTACTGTACTAGTTTCCCTACTGCATAGCAATCTCCATGCCTCTGGAGAGCATCTCATGGTTGGCTGTGGAGTTTCCAAACCAATGGTCTTGAGAGATATCAATATCTTTACCCTGGGACAGGCCTGGGGATATCTCAACTGTCAGGCCTGCAGCCATCTTTCCTTTTGGATCTCAGGCCTGCCACATTTTCTATTATTCTACTATGCATTTTCTATTGTGGGAAAATGGGAGGGGGGATTATATGGAGTTGGGTAATATGTAGCCATAACAACATTCCTCTTAGAATGTCATTAGGTCATTCTTTGTCTCCGCACTTGGCTGGAACTGGATGGGTGGACTGTCTTCATGGCAGTGGAAGATTGGACCATGCAATGGATTTGTGGGTATTGGGACAGGATTTTGAACTTTCAACTGGGTGGGAAAATCTGGGAGCTTTCAGATTCGGGTTTTTCCAGATGTGCCAACATGGCTCACTTAATAAATTGGAACTTTGAGTAATTTTTGCCTTTGACTCTGATTTATTTGGAACCCTGACATCAACATGGTCACCATGATTCATGGATCAATTCCAAACAGTGAAGGCATACTCAACTTGGTTTTCTTGCCAGGCTTAGCCATGAGATCTGAGGGGGAGCTATCCTTGTCCTCTTTGTCCTGGCGAGATCATGCCCTGATGACTTTGAGATTCTCTTATGCTGTCCATCTCCTCTTCAAGGAGGCAGGAACTATTTGACCAGTCCAGACTTAGTGACAGATGGATCTGTCACGGCGGCCTCCCTCAGTAACCAAGAAAGAAACAACTCAACTCCATTTTGCACAATTAAGAGTACTTTTACTGGTCATGAGTAGATAGCAGCTAGGCAAAGCAAGATCTGAGGCAAAAGCGCGCGTAATCATAGATATCAATATGTGACCCAACCCCCTCCCCCTGGTAACCCCATCCCATAGCCCAATCCATACACCCCACAGGTGTCATGTGGGAGACATCTTCAGAAATTATCATCAGGTTGGTATGCCGGACAGTTGGCCTTGGCGGCAACTCCTCTCTCTGCAGCATGCGCAGTAGACGGTGAGAACAACTCCCTTTTTACAGTCACTCCTGCACTGAACACTTCCCCACCCAAACCCCATGCCCCCCCTCCCCGTTTCAATGGCAGCCGAAAGCAAGCAGCAAAACAGAGGCTGACAGGATCCTTTAGAGGCCTACATGGCATCCAGCAGCACTCTCCCGGTAAAAGAGAAACTGCACATGGGCCTTGGGAGACATGTTTTGGCCAATTTTTGGCTGCTAGAGTGCTGCAGGAGCCCATGGAGGGCAAAAACAAGGTGCAGTGTGGCCCACAAGCCCCATTTTGGCCAGTAAAGGGCTGCAGGAGGCATCCATCCTATTTTCCTCCCTGCTTCCCATTGCGCTCCCACTCGCCGGCCTGCAGAGAACTACAATGGTGATCTGGCCCTCAAACAAATCCAGTTTGACACCCCGGGTATAGAGTTTCCTGCCTTAGCAGGAGGTTGGACTAGAAGACTTCCAAGATCCCACCAAGCTCTATTTGGGTTGAAGTTCTGGACTTGCCATCCCAAAGAAAAAATATGCAAGATTGCCGGGGGCTTCGAGAAGCGTCATTTTGCTTACTGCATTTTCTAGAACAGCTTTTCTAAGAGCTGTGGTGGTGCAGTGGTTAGAATGCAGTACTGCAGGGCTAACTCACTGCGCACTGCCAGGAGTTCAATCCTGACCGGCTGAAGGTTGACTCAGCCTTCCATCCTTCCGAGGTTGGTAAAATGAGGACCCAGATAGTCTGACTCTGTAAACCGCTTAGAGAAGGCTGTAAAGCCCTGTGAAGTGGTATATAAGCCTAAGTGCTATTGCTGTTTACAACCTTGGCAACATGAAGAGGCATCACTGGAGAATTCTGGGAATCGAAGCCCTAAAGTTGAGAAGAAAACTAGCTGGTGTTGAAGACTGGTGTTCTTCCACGTAAGTGTATTGTGCAAGGCTTGTGCAATGAATGAGTTTGTGGGCGAGTGTCTTGTGCAAATCCGGAACACAGGGTAATTATGTAGTGCATCCAGCCTATTTCATGCAGGGCCCTTTCTAACACAATGAAATTTATTGTAGAAAAAAAGCAAGGTTTTACACTTAGGCAGGAAAAACCAACTGGACAGGTACTGACTAGATGAAACTTGGCTCAAAGCAGTAACTGTGAGAGGGATCTTTGGAGTCCTAGTGGACACATAAATAGGAGCCAGCACTGTGGTGCAGCTGCCCCAAAGGCCAATGCAATCCTAGACTGCATTAATAGAGGGATGGAATCAACATCACCAGAAGTGACACTACCACTTTATAATGCTTTAGTAAGATCATACTTGGAATATTGCATCCCATTTTGGCCACTCCAATGTAAAAAAAGATGTTAAGAACACTGGGAAAAAAGTGTAGAGAAGAACGGCAAAGATGATGGGGGGGATTTGGAGGATAAAACATATGAAGAATGGCTTTGAATTATACATAAAGGATGACAATAACAATAACAATAACAATAGCAATAGCAATAGCAATAACAATAACAATAACAATAACAATAACAATAACTGACAAAATCACCATCAGTCAAATGCAGTGCGGCTTTTTGCATTTGACTTCCTTGTAAGGAAGTTAAGCAATCCCTTTGAATTAAATATAAAGGATGACAACAACAATAACAACAATAACAACAACAATAACAATAACAATTGACAAAATCACCATCAGTCAAATGCAGTGCGGCTTTTTGCATTTGACTGATGGTGATTTTGTCAATTTTTAACTTGAATTACATTTAAAACAGTTAAAAGTTGACAAAATCACCATCAGTCAAATGCCAAAAGCCGCACTGCTTGGATCTGCACGCATATTACGAAAATACGTTACGACGTCCTAGGCCCCTGGGTGGGGCCCGACTAGTAACCAATGCCAAATCCAGCGAAACAACTGGCCGCTGTGATACAATTGTATAACAACAACAACAACAACAACAACAACAAAGATACAATTAAAGTTTTGATTATTAGGGGGAAATGTTGTTTTACAGGATATAGTCAAATAAAAGAGGGATAAGAATAACAACGTTTATATAGATATGGGTATAACATAAGGAAACTGGATGTAAACTTTAAACAGTGATTTGGAAAGGAGGATTAGAAAACTTTGTTATTAAATATTATGGGTGTTTAGCTAGAATAGGACATAAGGATTCAGTGTTAGTGGAGGATTTTAGAAATAGTAATTGAAAGGCCAGTGTGTGGTTATGTATTAAATTTTGGTATATTTTGTGATGAAGAACGCTTAAACAATAATAGTCAAATGAAAATGGAGATATGATGATGGTGACATGTATAAATATTTTGAGTTAAAATAGTTAAGTTAATATGAATTATGTTTGTTGACTGTGGAAGAGATGCATGAAAGTCTTTTTGTAACCAACTGATACACTTTCTATAGCATGTAAAAAAAATTTAAATTAATTTTTTTTAATATTTTTTAAAAAAACAGGAAAAGCCCTGATTTTGGTGACAATTAAATTAGTTCCAAGTATTTTCCCTGTGCCCCCAGAAGCATCAAGAAAAGTGATGCCACCTTAATTTCTAATTTTCCTCCTTACTAGAGGGAGCCCCATTGTGGAGTACTGTGAAGCCATTACCATGGTGACTCCATTGCACTGCACAGTAGAAGCCATTTGAAGGCACAACAGGCTGTATCTTAACAGAACATCCCCCGAGGGGTGTTAGGGGTGTCTTACTCCACAGTATTTCTTTCCAGAGAGTAAGTCATCTGGTACCAAGTTTGGTTGAAATTGCTCAAGGTGTTCCAGAATTATGCTGGAACATGCACACACACAGACACACACACACACACAGAGAGAGAGAACCATTGCAAAGTTATTTTTCATTTTGTGTGTGTGTGTGTGTGTGTGTGTGTGTGAGAGAGAGAGAGAGAGAGAGAGAGAGAGAACTTTGCAATCCATCACATTGATCATTTTTGCAGGTCTGTGTAACATATGAAAACCAAAGTCATCAATGAAATATTAAGTCATCTTAACTTAACTGAAAATTTCAGAAGTGTTGCAACAGTTCACTTAGCAAAGACTTCTGTCCATATTTTGGAAGCAAATCCACCTTGTATGCAGGATCTCAGATC